CAAATTTAGAGCTAGAGAATGAAAAAAATTTACTATAACTGGAAAAGCGACGGGATAAAAACTGCTTAAAACATGTATTTGTACTGGAAGAGCTTTAGGATAAAAACCATGTTAAAAATATAAAAACAAACCAGCGTTACGTGATGTCGATTGTTTCTCGGTTGTCTTTCAAAACCTTCATCGTGACAAAAGGAGCCAATTCTGCAAATCACATTTCTGTTCATAAAAACATGCTTGTGTTGTTACATAATGAGTGAAATGGTGCAAAAAATTGGGAACAAAATTTACCTGCATTAACCGTCATTACATCTCACACAGCTTCGAGCAATTAGAATATATTAAAAACAAAAAACCCACCAATTATCCTCGTATTGGCAGGAATTTATTGAGCTCTGAAGTCGCGAAGGCTGCCGGCGAGGAATCAGAACCATTACGGGGGAAAATCACAGAGAACGTCCATTAACCAGTAAAGCACTCGTCGCCGTGTGCACCAGAACCATTTAGTCAAACCAGCCACGGTGGTTATTTACAATAATTGGCAGTCTGGCTTCCATACAGGCATAAAATAACAAATAAAAACATATCTGGTAATTACACGCCGCTGCACACCGGGACTTTATGTGAATATAATAACGCTCTCGCCATCATCTAGCGCTCAATCCATTTGGGGGTATTGAGAGCTATCACACAAGCCCACACTTGTCTTGTCCACCTCCGTAATTACTGTATTTTTCCTGCAGAGCGGCATCGAAGTGGGTTTCTGCAGGGAGGCAGCTGGAGAAGTGATTGGCTGCCGGCCTGTGATTGATGGACGAACAAGTGTTTTTAAAGCAAGTGGCCGGGGCCTTGAAAAAGACGCGAGCCGGCGAGGGAAAGTGAATCATCTGCTCAAGACCGCAGTGTGTTCCTGGTTAATGTGCTACATCAGATGTGTCATAACTTTCTGATGAAGGGTGGAGCCGCCGGTCAAGGGTGTAACTAAAGGTCAGGCAGATAACCGAGTTTACTGGAAGAGTCACTCTGCAACTTTTTATTAGGAAACCGCGTTGCACAAATTTAATGCAACATGCGCTGCCTTGACTTGGACGGTGCGCAGAGCGAAACTACACCAGCAGCAGCCTTTTATTCCTGCACATATGACGGATGAACTTCATGCAGAAATGTGCTGTTGCGAAACCGTCAGGGTTTCTGTTTCTCTAGAAAGAGGAAGCAATTCATGGGAGCGTTACGTAAATCTTCCGCCGCGGTGCTGCTGCTGTCCCCAATGACCTGTTGTGTTTCAGGGTGCATCCAAATAAATAAGTACATTTAAAAAAAAGTCCTCCTTTTACGGTGCTGAGACTTTGAGGAGTTGGCGAGCAGCTGGGCCCCGAAGCAGCCGCTGCAGCTAATAATGTGATGGGGTTGGGTGGCCGTCATCCGAGCCCTGCTGATCATGCAGCCGGAGATATCTGCAGGCCACAGGAAGATGCGCTCACTGGTGGCATTTCGCTGCTTTGGACCGTCTCCATTTTCACACACCTCTCCGATGCCCCTGACTGAACCCGGTGCCCGCCGATGCCCGGACGCTGCCACCGACACTGTAACGCTATCAGACGTTGCACACACATGGAGCTAAATGCCGGCGTTACAAAGTGATTTGCAGCAAACAGCACAGAGACACTGAACAAACCACATGTTGATAACAAGACGTCACCCCCAAAAGACCTGTGGGATCAGTGGGACCACATTCACCCCATAAAATCTCAAAAAAAGCAAAAGAAGTAAAGGAAAAGGACTAAAAACACAAAAAACACAGAAACACGGGAAACAATGATAATTACCGGAAGGTTTGAATTGCTGGAGGCAAAATGAAACCAAAGAAGAAAAACGCAAGAAAAGGGAAAGGAAAAAGAAAGTTAAGATGTTTTAAATGGCAAAATCTAGAACTTGTGATTGATTAGATTGATTTTATTCATTCATTGCCGTTCTTAAAACTATTTTTAACTATTTTTTTGGATTGATGTCACTATTTATTCACTTATTTACATATTTTAGTCTATTCCATGCAACATTTATTGCTTTATTTTTTATTTTTTAATTAATTTTTAAGGAATTTTGACTTCTGTTTTGCCCTTCACATATCTATCTATACATTAATAACATTAACTTTTATTTTATTTATTAATTAATCATATTTTATTTAGTTTCATTTCATTTATTTATTGCATGTGTTATTTCTTCGCCTTCATTTATAGCATGATGTTAAGGTTTCAGTTTGTTTGTTTGTTTGTTGTTTGCATTGTTTTATTCCATTTTTATTCCTTTAATCTGTAAAGCACTTTCTGGTACATTCTAGTTGTACTGAAAGTGCGACGTAAATATCGTCTGATTGATCAAGTTTAAAGAAAAAACAGGCAAAGTGACTAAAATTAGATTTAAGTGGTGATTTAAGAGAAGATCTGATGAGCTCTTGACAAGTTCAGTTTTTAGTGAAATTAAACTGTTTACGGAGACAAAAGGCCAAAAAACGCCTTAAAATGTGTTAGAAATTGATCCAACTGTCTCAAAGCCATTCAAGTGATTATTCATGGATTTTTAACAACAACTAATCTCAGTTGGGTTCTTCGGCCTCTTTGCTGGTTCTGGTTCTGGTTCAGTGTTTCCTGCAGTTCTCTGACTTTCTATTAACTTCTATCAAAGTGTTGTTCTGTCACAAACTCTGGAATAAGACTTCTGCCATCGTGATAAGACAAAAAAAACAACTTCTTTTGACCTTTAAAACACTAAATCTCTGAACAACAGGGCTGCAGGATTTTTTTTAAAAAGTCGAGGCCAGTGGTGTGAAAAGCAAACCTGAGCGGAGACCAAACAGTCTAATCTGCGCCATTATTCCGGCTCACACTTTTAAAAAAAGCCGTGATTGAAGGCTGACATTCAGGAGTTATGCAGCCCAGATTTGCATATAGCCTTCAAACGTTTCAGGGGCAGTGAAGGAATTCGCCTCCAGCCTCCTGAACACAAGTATGAACAGCCCCCTGCTCTCATTTTCATTCCAGCCTGCAGAGCTGATGTGCGGGGCAGCTTCCCCTCACGTTGTGTTTGCAGGTCGTGTTTGGGTGCATCTGGGCTCAAGCGTGTAAACAAACCAGAACTTCTACTATTAAATCTAACGCAGCTGCAGAAGCAAACATGCGACAGCAGCTCGGTCCTCCTCTGCCCATAACTTTGGGATGAATCAGCGCCGTAGCAGCAGGGACGGTTTACAACCCGCCACGCCGCTTTCAAAGGAAAACAAAACGTAACTTAAGCAGGGAGGAGAGAGAAAGAGCAGCCATTCAGACAATAACATGCGCGGGAAAAAGAGGAGGGCGGGCGTGGGGGAGGAGGGTGAGGACGAGGGGGGAGGAGAGGGGGTAAATGGAAGTCTTTTTATCTCCAGTTTCCCACATCCTGTGAACGGCTGCGAGCGCGGCCACCCAATTTGAAAGAATGAGAGGAATGCGCCCGGCTCTCCCCCTGCGCCGCTTTGATGCGCAGTGCAGCCAATGGACGCCGCCGCTTAATGCGAGAATAATCAGGTAACTGGCGGCGGGTGAGAATGCGGTGATGGACTGCGCTCAGGTCGCAGGAGTGCGTCTCTTTGTGCGCCAAAAAAAACAAAAAAACAAAGTGTCTTCATTAAGTTGTGTGTGGATGCTTCGGTGCAACTCACAGCAACAGGCTGGTTGTGTTGTCAAAGGCAGACACAACAACATGTGGACACAGAGGAGAACGTGTGTCTGTTTACATGCACATACTGTATATACTCACTGGTATAGGTGAGGCTGCACTGTGATAACAAAACACACATATGAGCTCTCAGGTTGTGTCTCTTTATGCAGCAAAATGTCTTTAATAAGGCGAGTGGCTGCTGGAGTGCAACAGACTGATTGTGTTGTCAAACGCAGACACGTGCAAACAAAAAGAGAATATAAATACACTATTAGAGGGTGCAGAGACCTCTGTGCTTGCATTGTGATTAAGAAAATATGTTAAAACTTGAATTAAATGTAGGGAAAAAGAGAAAACATACTACATGCATGAAGAGGAAAACGTGTATAAATAGCCTCTCAGGTTGCTTGTGTGTGTCTCTGTGCAGCAAAAATGTCTTTGTTAAGTTGCGTGGATGCTTCAGTGGCACGAACAGCAGCAGAATGTGCAGAAGAACAAATAAACGCACTTTAAGACACTGTTAGAGGCTGGATTGTGATAAAGGGGATGTTTTAAACGTGGGAAAAGAGAAAATATACACTGTTTGCTATATATGTATGTTGCACGTGTGTGTGTGTTTTAGTGCAACTATGCAACTCACAGCAACAGACTGATTGTGTTGTGAAAAGCAGACACAACAACATGCGGACAAAAGAAGACCTCTGTGTTTGCATTGTGAGAAACTTGGATAAAATGTAGGGGGATGGAAAAACATACACTTTATATACCATATATATATTTATATATATATATGGTCTCAGAGTGTCTCTGTTAAGGATGCTTCAGTGCAACAGGCTGTTTATATACAGACATATAAACAGACTCAACTCCTGCATTGTGGATCTTTTTTAAACCATAATAAAAAAAGGAGGGACAAAGAGAAAACTTGCCCTGTTTCCTATTTATTTATATCTGGTTTCACTAACTTGTCCTCATCTGTTCGCGTCTATGTCCCCAGTTTCCCGCGAAGGGAGGAGACCAGACTCTTGGCTCTGGATTCTCATTTCCCTCCAACATGAATTCATAATTATTGCTTTGGTCTCCCCCCTTTCTTTTTTCTTTTTTGGCGCGTTTTGATTCCCGCCACGTCTGTGTCTGGCTCGGCCGGTTATGAGGCTCTCTCTCTCTCCTTCCCCCCAACGTGATTGACGTACGTTTGTAATGCGCATCTGCTTTCCTATTGGCTGAGGGAGCGGAAGTGGGCGGCGACGCGGGAAAGCTGACGCAGTGTGAGGCCCCGCCCACTACTACCGCCTTATAAGCGTCCCTACCCCCGGCTGGTCTCTTCCAGTAGCCGGTGTCTGTCGGAGGCTGTGCACCGCGTTTGTCTGTGAATTATCCCTCGACTGTTTACAAAACACTGCTGGGGGGAGTTTCGTCGGTGTGGACGGACGTTTTTCTCGCGGTGGATTCTTCTTCTTCTCGATGAAAGGATCGCGTTTTTTGTACTCGCAACTTGGATTTACGGCGCTTCACGGGAGACTATCTGGATAAAACAACAACAACAACAACAACAAACCGCTTCTACTGAAACCACAACACGCCGCGGTCGGATAAAGGAATGCTGCTGTCCAAGCTCAACTCTCTGGCCCACATCTCCACCGTAGACATGCCTGCGAAGCTCCAAGTCCACCCAGGTTAGACACGCTACGCTTCTCGCGCCGTGTTGTTGTCGTGGAGGCGGCCGTAATGGAGGCTTATCTCCCCGCGAGGACGGGGCGGTTAGCTGGCCGCGCTAATTAGCTTCACATTGGTTCTTAACGAGTCGGGCTCGGCTATCCGTCTCCTCTGGTTCTGACCGGCTCTGTCTGTGTGTGTGTGTCCCGCAGTGAAGGAGAAGGAGCCGTTTGAGAAGCTGTACCAGGTCGGCGCGGTGCTCGGCAGCGGCGGCTTCGGCACCGTGTACTCCGGTACGAGGACGGCCGACGGAGCTCCGGTAAATACGGCTTCATTTGTGTTTGTGTCGCCATGAAACGACACAATAATTTTGAACAGTAAGCGCTTCACTTGTTGGGCTGTTCTCTGACCTGTCGCCCTGTTTGCTTCGCTAGGTGGCCGTAAAACACGTCGCCAAGGACCGCATCTCCGAGTGGGGAGAGCTGGTAAGAAACGTTTTTTTTTTAACCTTTTCTGTCATAAAAACAGCTTTAAAGCCATTTTTATTTACTTATATACGCTTTAATGCGTCATAAATTTAAATTCTGGTCGTATATGTGGCTGTAAATGTGTGGTTCAAAATGCTAATATTCGCGACCGTCCCTTCAGCCCAACGGCTCCCGGGTTCCCATGGAGATCGTGCTGCTCAAGAAGGTCGGCACCGGCTTCCGCGGCGTCATCAAGATGCTGGACTGGTTCGAGCGGCCCGACAGCTTCATCATTGTCATGGAGCGGCCCGAGAACGTCAAGGACCTGTTCGACTTCATCACGGAGAAGGGCGCCCTGCCGGAGGAGCTGGCGCGCAGCTTCTTCCGCCAGGTGCTGGAGGCGGTGCGCCACTGCCACAGCTGCGGCGTGGTGCACCGGGACATCAAGGACGAGAACATCCTCATCGACCTCCGCACCGGCGAGATGAAGCTCATCGACTTCGGCTCCGGAGCGCTGCTCAAGGACACCATTTACACAGACTTCGATGGTGAGTTTGCGACACATTTAGCTCCATGTTTTTTTTTATTTATTTTTGGATAAATCTGGTGATTCGTGGCCATTAGAGCCCAGCAGAAATTCCTGGGTTGTGTCATCCCCCCTCCACCCTCAGCAGCAGCAGCAGCCTATTAATACACGCAGCCATTCTGCGCTGTTGTCGCCCCCTACTGGAGGAAGGCGGCATTTTTACAACTCAAAGTTTGTAAACAAAGTCACATGTCTGCTCCCCCTCCCACGCGCACTCGCTGTCACGCTGCCTGGCACCTGAGCCCTGATAGTAGCCTCAGAAACAGCTGATAAACCTGCGCTTCCTGTTAATCATTTACGCCCAGATACAAACACAGCAAATAGTAATCACTCAGAGGAGTTTGCACATGTGCTCAGAGTTTCATTTTAATCATCTAAAGGTTTATTTTTGCAGCTTTTTAAAGATGTTTGTTGTTGTTTTTTTTTTTTTCAGGCACAAGAGTTTACAGTCCACCAGAGTGGATCAAATACCACCGCTATCATGGCCGCTCTGCCACCGTTTGGTCCTTGGGCGTCCTGCTGTACGACATGGTGTGCGGCGACATCCCGTTTGAGCACGACGAGGAGATCACGAGCGGGCAGGTCCTCTTTCGGAGGAGAATCTCAGCAGGTAAGAATTCACACAGCGATCCTCGTTTCGGTCTTCTTAGCTGTTGATTTGTGCTTTAGATTTGGACTAATCGGTTCTTGTGTCTCCACCAGAATGCCAGCAGCTGATCAAGTGGTGTTTGTCCCTGCGGCCGGCTGACCGCCCGTCCTTTGAGGACATCGTCAACCACTCGTGGATGCAGAGCTCGTCCTCCTCCGTGGTTCCCGCCACGGTGCAGACAGAGAAGTCGCCCGCGGAGATCCGGCTGCACAGCATCGGACACGAGCCCACAGCCTTCACGCCGACCCCGGTGGCCGTGGCCCGGTGAGGCAGGCGGGGCCGCTCTGGTCCGAACTGGACTGCACTGACACGAGAGACTATTACAAAAGACTTATATAAGAGACTTGAAGCAGAGAGGAGAGGGGTTGGCGGCGCTGCAAGGGACTACATCCATCAGAACCGCCGCCCGCTGACCCTCTCCACCCTCACCAACCCCAACTACTTGATTTCCCCCCCGAGTCGTTGACCCGCGTCGGTGTCGCAGACGTCAACTCGGGCCGGTCGCTCCGCAGGAGGGCTTCTGCTCTGTATGCACGGACACCTGCGACGCCCAAACAAACCCAGTGCATGCACCGACTGTCGGGGAGATGTTATGTAACCTCCTCGCTGCTCTGCTCTCTCCCTGGCAGCAGAGAGGGAACAGCAGAGGCGCTGGCGAAGGGGAATTATTTAAAAAAGTGCCTTCTCTGAGATTGTTGGGGGGGGTAGGGGGCCCTGAAAATACTTGAATTTGTGAAAGCAAAGAGGCTCACAACTCGCCGACCTTTTTTGCTCCTTACTCTGGCTTTATATTGTTTATTGCTGGTTTTTTTCTTCTTCTTCTTCTTCTCTCATGGGCCTAGATCAGTAAAGCCCATGTCATTTTTACAACCACTACTATCACTACTACTCCAATGTCATTAGCAACCAGACAACCTCATAGCTCCGGCAGCAAACCTGTGCAAACAAGTCATAAAACAAAAAAAGCAAAACAAAAAAAGAAGAAACACTGGACTTACCTCACTCTACTCTACTACAGCATCCACCTCTACTCTACAACCTTCGCTTCCTCCTCTTCTCGTGCTGTACTGTAAACAAACACGAGGCTTTCGGCGGCCGTTTTCATTCACACCCACCCCGAATGCACACCACAATGCAAAAACCATACCGAGATACAACATCCTCTGCTCTTCACTTCGATTTTTTTTTATTATTATTATTATTTTTGGTAAAACAGTGCCTCACGCAGGTCTTAAAAAATTTTTTTGTTGGGGGACAAGAATTGTAAATAAGAACGATATTTATTATTGCTGTGACTCCTTTCACACACGCGAGCGTTTTTTGTCTCAGAATTTATTTATTTATTTATGAGAGAATTTCGGCTGTTCGTATATATATATATCTATAAATACTATAAATATATATCATTCCGCAGTCACTGAAGGGCCCACAGATTATTTAAAAGGAAAACAAAGAATTTTTTCTGACCATATTTATGGCTTGAATTTTTGTTTTTTGTTTTTTTTAAAAGAGCAGACGCGTGTGTGTATGTTTGTGTATGTCGTGTAAATAACGTGTAAATAGTCCTGAAAAGAAAAAGCACTTCCATCTTAATGTATGTTCAACATCCAACGTCTACTGATGGTGTCGTTACGCTGTTTGGGTGAGTTCTGAATGTTGGATGAGCGGATGAATGTGTGAACGCGTGTGAACTGTTCTGGCTGCGCGATCACAGCTCGGATCGAGCTGGTTTGGTTGTGTTTGTTTTTTTTCATCCATTCAGATTAGAATTGTAAATTATGTTAGAAACTATTTTTTTACGATTTCAATAAATATTTTTCTAACTATGAATCCTTGTTGCGTTGCTTCATTCAATGTTGACACTCGAAACCCACGAAAGAACCCTTTACAAAGTTAAGAACGACACGATTTTAACTCCTACGGAGAGCTTTCGAGGTCAGGAGGTTGTACAACGTCCTGTTTGACGCTTCTGTAGAAAAGCGGCGCGCACAGGAAGCAGATGGAGAGATAAAGAGTCAGACGGCAGCAGAAAACAGGGCAGGGTGCATGAAAGTGTTGACAAAGAAAGAGAAGAAAACAAGCTCTTAGAACTGGGTTTGTAGCACAAACTGATGTCATTATTATTAGAAACTGCTCTCCGTCACGATGGTTCCAAACAAACCCCAGACATGTTGGTTCATTTCAGCTTTGCTGCTTTGTGTTTACACAACAAGAGCGGCTTTATCGGCCATGTTTGTTTACATAAAGGAGAACAACAAAGCTGAAAAAACAGAAGGACTGTTGTGTGCAAAGAGACTGATGTGTATTTAAATATGAAGAGATAAACACTACATGAAGCTGATGATTATATATTATGTGGATGTGTGTAGGCAGTTTGCAGCGTTGACGAACAGTTTGACAACAAAACTGTGCATTTACACTAAAAATATCAAAGTAAGTGGAAGTTTAAAAGGGTAACAGACACTGTAACAGATTTAGCTCCACATTTTCCCATTCTGGAGCCTGTAAAGTCCTACATGGAGCAGCTTGACACCGCTAGTGACTCCTAAATCAGGAAGTACATCCACTGCGGGATGACAGTTTATGCTGAATGCTCATTTTTTAGGGTCTTGAGAGACACTGGATCCCATAAACCCGAGTGGTTCCACGGTGTTGTCGGGTCTGGTGATGGGCGACGGCGTCGGACGGTTTCTCCTGAAGTCCACTCAACCTCCAGCCAATCGTGTGGTGGCACATTTCACATAGGTGCTCAGATGGACTTGGAAAGCTTTGGGATGCTGGTCTCTCTGAGCCATCCCGGTGTGGCTGCACCTCGCTGCCATCCTGCTTGTTTTTGATTTCTACAAACCAACCACGAACCAAAAATAACCCCAAATACCCTGAGTCTTTTTTTCCTTTTTTAAAAACTCCCCAAATTTCCAACAACTCCAAGAGCAAAAACAAAAACTCTTAAACTTCACAGATAAGAAGTCAGAACTTTTGAAATTACTCTCCTTATCTGATACACAAAGAGTTTCTACTTAATCAAACCTGTCAGTGAGTCAGTAAAGACTGATGTCAGTGAACTTGTTCTGAGTAAAGTCAACCTACAACCCTTAACCTCTGGAAAGAACTCAGACCACAGACTTGTTTTCTGAAGAAACCAAACACGCCTACTGTACGTGGTTTGTGTCGAAAAATGAGGACCTGCCCACTTTTAGCATCAAAACAGCCCAAATTACCCCCAAAGATCCTCTTTCTTGTATCCAACAGATATTAATGTCGACATTTTTTAATATATTAAGATAACAAATCAACAAAAACAACAAAGCACACGTTATCAGAGAGGCAGCAACTAAATTAGGGAGTAAAATCCCAAAACAGGAAGCATCTTGTAAAAAAAACCCATATCAAATATTAAGAGCAGATAAAAGCCACTGAAAACACGCATGTATTTAAGTTTTTCTTGAAAACATCAATGGAGGAGGGACGTTTGATAGAAAGAGGAAGGCTGTTCTGACGCCTTGGAGCCGCTTCTGCAGGGAAATGAAAACAGTGACCCAGTTCTGGTTTTGACACAAGGCTGCAAAGAAACACAAAAGTGAGACAATAACGTCACATGCAGTGAACCGGGGCCCACCGGGGCCCAGCGGGGGTCCACGGCCCTGCACGGGTGTTGATACGCAGTTATGCTGTCGTCAAACAAAGCCTTTAAATGCAGGACTGCTACCTGTAGCTGAGTGTTTTTCACACTTCAAAGTGGAGGATCTGATCGTCTCCTCAACAGCCATTAGTGATCAGGTGTGAACTAATCAGCCTGTCAGTCCACAGCTGGGTGGGCTTAATCCCATCAACGGGCTGCAGATGCTCTCGTGGCTTCATCTGGACGTTTGATAGCAGAGCAGCCTATCACGGATCTGTTCTCCCACATAGATAAGAGTTGTAGCTTTAATCAGCGCCGACGCCCTCTGGGGACCCGCCGCTAATCTTCCCTCAGACCTCACCTCCAGCCAAAGCCAGATTTACACAACAGCAAATCACTGGAAGGAGGCTGGAGACGCTCCCATCAGTCCCAGTCAGCGTCTGTTCACCGGGAGAGAAGGGATGTGGGTGTAAAAGTGTCGCATCTTCCAGCTTATTGTTTTATAGCTGCTGTGGTCACTGATTCCAGCTTCATTTAACAGTCTGTCCAACATTTACGGAGCATTTAGCAGCTGGACAGACAGATATTTCCTTCAGCCCAAAAACGTAGCGATTGACGGACTTGTTCGGGGTCACAGGAACAACAGATGAACGCTGACGTCGATTATTATTATAAACACGTCCAGCAAAGTTTAGATAATATGTCAAATCTGGGTTCACAGCCTCCTTCTGCTGCCCTCAGATGGATTTGTTTTGGCTAAACGAGGCATCAATCCAGAGATGGAAGCGTCAGCTTTGGTTCAGAATAAAATATATCAAAAAGTTAATGATGAAAACAAGACATTCGTGCCCCCCAGAGGATCCATCCTTCTCTTCTAGCACCAATTTCTGTTCATGGCTCTGAATGAAGTTTATCAACAATCGTGGGCCAGATCGTCATGTTCCATGTAGGATTAGGTGTAAAAACTTTAGCATTCACTTGACTTTCATCTTTTTAATTTATCTTAAATTTGTCACCAAACACCTTCAAAGCTAACAACGTTGCTGCTGGACTCTTTGTTTTTTGCCAATTAGCAATTACAAGCATGCTAGGTGCTAGTGGACGATGGTCATCAGAGTGAACATGTCCCGCTAAACATCACAATTAGACCCCGACAGCCTCACAAAACAGTTTCTTGCTGCAATAAATAGTTTCTATAGGAACTCAAAGGCATCTTTTCTCATTGTCAGTCTGCAGTGACCAAAACAACTTTCAGAGCAAATGTTTTAATCATTTTTCTGTCTTATTGTGTCACCAATAAATTTAAAGAATCTCTGTATATTTGTGTGTCTGTTCTTTGCATATCTCATTGGATCCACTTCAGGCTTCTCCTGAAGCACAGCGCTGAGTTCGAAGCAGATTGGATGAGTCGTATCTGTTTCAGGCTCATTTCGAGGTCCTGTGAGTGGAACCTAAATCCCCCCGTTGCTAGAAAACATCATCAAAAGGCAAATAAATGATGACGAGCGATGTGTCTCATTCTGGCGCTGGGATCTGCACCGGTTCTGCAGAATGTGGAAACGTCAGCTGTTGTTATCACCTTATGTTTCAGTTCAGGCGGCGCTGCTTCGGTGACACATCGGTGATTAACGCTTACACACAGCATCACTCATTGTGATAAAAGAGTTCAAGTCAGTCATTTTATTTACTAACGTGTCTCCCCCGGCGCACAAACAAAGACACAATCCAACTCTGGAGGTCACATTCTTTGTGCGGCTATCTCATGTGTTTCATATCACACGGCGAGTCACAGATGCGCTAAACGAAAGTCGAGTGTGTATTTTTGTACCAGATAATAATAGACAAAGGTCATCAAAAGAAAAACGGCACTGAAAATAAAATCTCACATCCAAAGTGTGGCCTCAGCGTTTAGGGATCTTTTGATCGGATGCTGACTCTCTTGCTCAGGTAGTGAAACGACGCACAGTTTCCCTGAAGAAACTGCAGCGCACCCAAGACCACAAGTTTCCACGAATGATTCATTTCCCCTTTCGTTCTGAGAACCACAGGCCACATCAAATTCTCAAAGCCGGCTTCTCTTTGTCAGAAACAGCCTCAGAACAGCAGTTGTGCTGTTCTAGCTGTTGAAGGAATCGAACTGGAAAGCAGGTCAGCTGGGAACGACTATTTCTGTCGGACCTGCGCTGACGGTTGTTACTGCAAAGAAAATAAATACAGCAGCGTGTTTTGGTGATGTAGACAGTCGTGTTCACTGTTTATGCCACGAGCTCTTCATTTCTCATTACGGTTGACCACAACTCCTCTGAACCAGTTTAATAAATACGACCCTTTGATACACTTATTAGACTCTGCAGTGGGAAAGTCTGAAGAAGCAAAACAAATGACCCGAAGAGCTTCATGGCTTTAACCCCAAACCCACCACCGAGCACGGCGGTGGCAGCATCATGCTCTGGGACGCACCATTTATCGAACAAAAAGGAAAAAAGAGAAAATCTATTTCTGTCAGTTGTTGCTACAAAGACGTAGCTGAGAAATACACTGGATTAAATAACAAACACATATTAAAACATAAGGCTCCATCAAACCCGGTTCTGTCCACACCCACTCAGCTGTTTTGTGTAATTGTGCATGCAAACCTTCTTTGGAGTCAAATACGGAGTTGGGTATTTGCATGGACTGTTGGTGAGTCACCGTCTCTCCCCCTAAAGACCTCATTTGACTGCTTTGGTTGTGCACTGAGTCATTACAGAAATAGGCCACAGTGTGAAAGGGCTACTACAGGGGCTTTTGCGAAAACACCAAGTTTAGCTTCCTCAGAAGAAGCCACTGATAACACATTTGCATTTCTATGAACAGCCCCGATGTGCGATAATGACTCAGTGTGCGTGTCGTTTATTTTGAGACCCGATCGAGAGCTGATTGGCTCATCGGGTCTCGTTCCCGTAAGTCCTCAGCGACACCCTCATCTTATGAGAAAGACACAGAAAGCCCAGCTGTTGCATCACCGCCGTCCTCTCAGCTCTAACTGTCAGAGCCGGGGCTGTTGGGTAACGCTGTCAGGAACTTCCTTGAGCTCCCCCTCCGCCACCATCGCTGTCTGTCTCCATCTGTACGTGTTCGCCAATCTGCCTCCTTGATAAATACACTGCACACATTCACAATCTTGCGCAGTCAGACTTTGCTGAGAGATGAATGGGAAATCATGTGT